CCAAAATCTGACCCTACCATATTAATGTCGCAGCTGAAATAGAGGCTCATCAGACCAGGCAACATTTTTCGAATTTTCTGTCGTCCAATGTTGGTGAGCCTGTGCAAATTGTAGCCCCTGTTTCCCATTCTTGGCTGACAGGAGTGGCACCCGGTGTGGTCTTCTGCTGCTGTAGCCCATCTGCTTCAAGGTTCGACTTGTTGTGCATCCAGAGATGGTATTCTGCATACCATGGTTGTAACGAGTGATTATTTTAGTTACTGTTGCCTTTTTATCATCTCGAACCAGTCTGCCCATTCTCCTCTCAACAAGGCATTTTTGTCCACACAACTGCTGCTCACTGGATATTTCCTCTTTTTCGGACCATTCTCTATAAACCCTAGAGATGTTTGTACGTGAAAATCCCAGTAGATCGGCAGTTTTTGAAATACTCAGACCAGCCCGTCTAGCACCTACGACCATGCCATGTTCAAATCCCCTTTCTTCCCCAGTCTGATGCTCGGTTTCAACTTCAGCAAGTCGTGTTCACCACATCTAGATGTCTAAATGCATTGAGTTGCTGCCATGTGATTGGCCGATTTAGCAATTTGTGTTTTCAAAGCAATTGAACAGGTGTACCTAATAAAGTGGCCAGTGAGTGTACAGTATATATCATATGTAATATTAATAATGTGTGTATATGTCAATGTAATATTAGTAATGTTTATACTAGTAGGTTATTTGGCTTTTCTAAGGTTGTATGACAATGATATGGGCATCAGATTTGAACTGGTGTCAATGGTAACTCTATAAAGTATCGCACAATATACTGCTACAATATAAATTAAGGAATAATAAACAAAAAAAATGTCCATTAATCTATTTTCTAATGATCCCTTTAAATGGTCAACAGTTTGTTTTCTCCCTTTATGGGAGATTGCATCTTTTTTTTTTGTTTACAAACGTTTTTATTAGAAGATAGACAACAAAACAGCACCACTTCATGAAGTATAGCATACATCAAGAAAAAGGCACATAAGTAAAAAAAACTGTCTTATAAAACAGAATCATAGAAAAAGAGAGTTCGAGTACATGAATGAGATAGGTAGTATGATATACTGAACAACTACACAACCAACAAAGATACAATGCCAATAAATCTAACCCATCATTCTAACAATAAATGCCGAAATGTCTTCCAACCATCCCATTTTCTGTTGAATAATTGCATCCTATATAGCAATGTATATTGAATACGTTCCATGAGCATAACCATATCAATTCTACACAAAACAGAGGACAAAGGCACTGCTGGTGACTTCCAATGAAGAGCAATGGCCCATAAGGTAGAGACAGGGTCCCTAGGCAGGTGCAGGGGGTGCACTCTGCACCGGGTGACACCTTTTGCACGGGGTGACACTGGACCCGCTCCACCAGGGGCGGACTGACCATTCGGGCACTGCCCGAGGGCCCGGGGTCACTACAGGGCCACATGAGAGGCTCGGTCTGTCCCTGTATGTGCCGCTGCTGAAGTCGGAGAGCTGGAGAAGCAGGCAGAGTATACAGCAGGTCAGTGTGTAATTCCTGACCCTGATGACAGCACTGCAGCTTCATGTAGTAGGGGGAGGGAGGGGGGGGGAAGGAGAGAGGGGGGGGAGAGGGCAGAGAGAGAGAGAGGAGGGGAGAAAGAGGGCAGAGAGAGAGGGGGAAGAGAGAGAGAAGAGAGAGGGGGGCAGAGAGGGGGGGAGGGCAGAGAGAGAGAGGGAAGAGAGAGAGAGGGGGGAGGGAGAGAGGGGGGAGAGAGGAAGAGAGAGAGGGGGGAAGAGAGAGAGAAAAGAGGGGGGAAGAGAGAGGGAGACAGGGGGGAGAGAGAGAGAGGGGGGCGAGAGAGAGGGGAGAGAGAGGGAGGAAAGAGAGGGGGGGAGAGGGAAGAAAGAGAGGGGGGGAGAGAGAGGGAAGAGAGAGAGAGAGGGGGGAAGAGAGAGGGAAGAGAGAGAGGGGGAAGAAAGGGGGGGGGGAGGAGAGGAAGAGGGGGGAGAGAGAGAGGGAAAAGAAAGAGAGAGAGGGGAGCAGAGGGAGAGAGAGAGAGAGGGGGGGGGGTGAAGAGAGGGGAAGAGAGGGGGAGAGAGAGTGGGGGGAGAGAGGGGGGAGAGGGGGAAGAGAGAGAGAGGGGGAAGAGAGAGAGAGGGGGAAGAGAGAGAGGGGGAGAAGGGGGGAGAGGGAGAGAGAGAGGGGGAGAGATAGAGGGAAGAAGAGAGAGAGAGAGAGAGGGGAGAGAGGGGGAGAGAGAGGGGGAGAGAGAGAGAGAGGGGGGGGAGAGAGGGGGGGGCTTCCTTTTCGTGGAGCTCGTGGAGAGATCAGTTAACCCCGTATAGGTTGCAAGCTGATGAACCCCGCAGGATGGATCGGATCTGCGGAATAGGGAGGATAATGGAACAGACTCTGATCCATTATGCTCAATCTGCAGATCCGATCCATCCTGCGGGGAGCGTCGGAGGGGGTGCCACCAAGTGTTCTGGCACCGGGTGACACCAACCCTAGGGATGCCCCTGGGTAGAGACACAGATAGTATGAATTAGCCTCATTATGTTGGTTTGGATCCCCAAAATGGGAGATCCCAATAAAGAATTTTGCAGTGACAAATTTACTGGAGTAAAGTAACCAGCCTCCAGATATGCCGATAACAGCCACCAGGGGGATCATGTACATTCGCATGCGTCAGGAACACAGGAATCACCTTCAATGTATCAGATGTATGACACCTGGTGGTTGCTGCCCTGATGACTTCATCCATCTGCAGTGTTCCAGATCCAGAGAACCAGGAGTAGGTCTTATATACTCCATGCGCAAGCGATTGTGCTATCTGGTTAGTGCAATCTATATCCATCCTCATTACCACAGGAGTGAGGGATGTTTTTATCACAAGTTCCATCTACTGTATCACTTATGTCACTTTATACACCTTCTGTGTCACACACCTGAGATTGGTGTCTACCCCTTTGGTGTTCAACACCTTCTATTTCATTGAGACTTTGTTTTATGTCATATTTAGTCAGGGACAATTTATGATTACTCATCTTCTTTTAGCGCTGCATAATTTTATATATAAATGTGATCTTTAGGTCTTAGAGGTTTACCTGTGTATGCCTGCAGCTATTTTTTACATTGTTATTCACCCAGCGCTCGTATATTTCTATTGTAAATTTTCTGGAGTATCCGTCAAGGCCGAGGCCACCTCAGAAACATTACGCCAGATCAAAGAAGGACCAGGGCAGGGAGATTGCATCTTGAGTGACAAGGGCTTGGAAGTATTCTAAAACAGTCACTTAGAGGTTGGATCTTGAAATGTAAACTTCTACAACATACTTGAGACTGTGTTAAGGTGTGCATCTGAAATAAAAAAAAATAAGGATTTATGATCTTCAAAATTTATGTAAAAAGAGTTAAGCTGGAGACTTTTGTGGTTAGTCATGCAGGCAAAATACAATGGCCCTTGCAGAGAACTGCTATGAAATCAGCCGTGAAAATCAAAAACAAAAGCAAAGAGTATAATTCCTGCAAAATATACAGAAATTTATATCTACATTTTAACAGCATATACTCCCTACAGCATTTCCTGTACTGTGACTGTATGAATGATGTATTTGCTGCCCTGCTGAGTCAACAGCTGCTTCAGGCTGCATCAACCCATTACTAGTAATGTGACCACTGACATAAATCCTCTACATTGTCTTTAGGGGCAATTCCAATGAAAAGGCTGTGTAGTGTTGCAATATTCATCTTTTTTACTGCATGGATTTCAGATTTAAGAAAAGATTTTGTTAGAAATTCAACAAGAAGAATAACTCAGTAAAAGTGATGTACCCACTTATTTTGTTTGTAATAAATGCTATTACAACTTGGCTAATATTATACAAGATAACTTGCATTCATCCTAGATTGTAAGCTCCAAGGAGCAGGGCCCTCCTATCCCTCTTGTAAAGCGCTGAGCAAACTGTTGGCGCCATAAATCCTGTATAATAATAATAATAAAGGCACCTTAATAAAAGTTTACTTTGCAGATATACTGTAGATCAAATTAATAACTCTGCTGCAACATACGAAAATTTCTTTTTTTTTTTTACAAACATTCTTTGCATTGTGCTAACCTACAATTTAAAACTCAAAGCTTCCAACTTTTCCTAATTTGGAGGGACTGTCCTTTGTTGAAAATAAATCAGTTTGTCTCTTTTCATTAGTTGCTTTTGGTCTGATGCATACTTAACACATACACAGAATATAACTGGATACTAACATTTATAGGTAAAGATGATCCAGGGAATATCCGATTGCCTCTCGGGGGATCAGGAAGGAATTTTTTTCTCCTGCAGGAGCAAATTGGATCATGCTTTGCTGGGGTTTTTTTTGCCTTCCTCTGGATCAACTGTGGGTATAGAATTATACCTTTTTTTTTTTTAATGGTTGAACTGCATCCTATCTAGCAATGTATATTGAATACGTTCCATGAGCATAACCATATCAATTCTACACAAAACAGAGGACAAAGGCACTGCTGGTGACTTCCAAGGAAGAGCAATGGCCCATAGGGTAGAGACAGGGTCCCTAGGCAGGTGCAGGGGGTGCACGCTGCACCGGGTGACACCTTTTGCACTGGGTACAGCCAAACGAATTATGTAACTTAACTACCAAAAGCATATTTAAAGCAATATTAAATCCCAAAACAAAAATAAAATGTATTGCAGTTTGCCAATGCTTAGATATGCTGGCTGCATTACTTTTTTTTTTTAGGCTTTTTTCCCCAATGAGCAATGACTAGCTGAGTGGCCATAAAGTATTTTAGAAATCTGGCATAGGCAGTCTGCCCTGTAGGGTCAGTCTAGTCGGTGTGGTAAGTTTATAACATGAAGTTTGAGATTGCCATAGAAAGGAAAGTAACAATTGGTTAAAGTGTTACTAAACCCACAACAGTAAAATCAGTCTGTATATGCAGTAAAGTATGCTTGATATACTCATCATGGAACCTAGGGGGTTAATCCTCTGCATTGTGTAAAAAGGCCGTTTGATCCTTTCTTCTCTGTCCCTCCCCTAATAAGACAGACTGAACCGTTGGCATTTTGCACATGCTCAGTTTGGTATGTATTGCTACAGAGGTTTTTTTTTTCTTGGGAGAGTGCATGTGATCAGCACAGGGCCAATCAGCACTGGTCAGATAGAGGTCAGGGGTTTTGCATCTTCCTACAGCAGAAAGAAATCTCCTCCTACATGTTTTAGCTAATGCTGGGCTTGACACTGATAGAAGCCACAAGCCTGCTCTAATTTCTGATAATAAAATGTATTTAGCAGTTTATATTTACTAAAATAATTGCACTTCCATGTTCTGTGTACTGCGGGAGACTGCAGAGAGTGAATGCAAGGTCCTGGGTCTAGTAACACTTTAAGCTGTTTAAAAAGGGATTTGCAGTGAATTTCGAAAGTGGTACGTGGAGTTGGTCAGAATTTTAATCTTAAGCCCACTGTAATACAGGGTCTTAATGCTTCAGCCCACAACTGCCTCACAGCCCAAATAGACCATGCTGTCCGCCAACTTGTGTACAGATGGTGGGTTGAAAACCCTCCACTATACCATCCCCCTGGTCTGCCACAGCACTGACCCATAGGTAGTCAGGAGTACTCACGTTACAGGGCTCTGCACTGCTCTGTAATTTCATGTCAGAGCTCTAACAGTCCAGCCGAACACCTGGGGCCCTTTGTTGCATGGTGGCCCAAGTCACCTGGTATGTGTTCCTTAGAGGGGTCTGCTCTTCACTGTCAGCAGGGAGACTTCCTTGCCTAACCATCACCACTCCTGACCTAGCCGGGTTTACATGGTGTAATTTGCATTAGGACTCCAACAACAGTTGTGTAGTGTATCATGAACCATCCGGCCATCTGCGGCCTAAATGTGTACTGGCCGATCTTACACACTTCTACATAAGTGTTGGGCATTCTCTTGATTAACATCACTCCATTCCGAAGCAAAGTTCAGTTACTTTAATCAAATGAAGAGCATAGCTTCCAAACATTTGGTAAGGTGAATAAAGCACTATAGGTAATAATCCAGTAAACACGTATCTTCTGGTATAGTCTGAAGACTGTGTATCTCAAGGCCTACAGTTAGGAAACTATGCCTACTGTGAGGAAATCATTGCTGTTCCCTTGACCTTCTGCTACATTATTCCTGTTCAAGTAGATTGAAAGCAACTTTATAAAAAACACATTTCCATGTTAAAACCCAACTCCACTTAAAAAATCCTTGCCGAAAAGTAGTTACAATATAAACAGGTCTGTGAAAACGCCCTGGAGGAGGGGCGAAATGCGTCAATGTAGTTTCCAGTTCCGGCGAAGGCTTTGTGACGTCACATCCGGTGAGTGGAGCACACGCTACTCGCGGAGCTCTGGAGCCATCTTTGTTGGTCTTTCACCTGTTGATGTGGGAGCACACACTTGCCCATCTTAGTATTCTTTGATGTGGGAACTGCACAGTTGCCGGTCTAATACCCTTCGATATGGGAGCCATAAATTGTTGCCGGTCCAAATACTTACTGGTGTGGAAAAGTTTTATATCAGTAAGGCTTCTTTTATTTTGTGAAATGTGAGTGCAATAACGCTTCGGTTTTAATTTAATTAAAGAGTATTACAGTATTACACTATTAGTGTCCCCATTGTCTTTTTGCATCTGTTCTGTCCTCCTGGTGGTCGTTGGAGATTATCAAGCAAGCATTTTCTGCTCTGATCTGGTTCATTCCGAGGAACACACTTCACCATAAAAGATTATTTGACTCATACAAGCTAAGAGTCCATCTAATCTGGTAAGTGTAGATTGTATCAGAAGATGATCACGGATGGTGTTGGGATATTATTTAAGGAACACATTTGATTTTTTTTGGCACCGTTTCTCTGATTGGAACACTGTATCACCATTTATTTGGGACAGTGGACTTTTCATTATTTTATCACTGTTGGTATAAATGTGTAATTTTTGCGCTGTAATATTATTTTTATGTTTGGTGGTTTTTTTACCTTATGAACAGCAGCATTAATTATTTGGATTATATATCAATTTTTTAGGTGCGGGTTAACTTCACACACAATATAAAAAAGCTTTCTCTGCAACACTCACCTCTTCTTTGGCATTGTCCTGCAGAGAAAGCCTGCTTATCCATTAGATCAGGGGTGTCAAACTGGCAGCCCCCCAGCTGTGTTGAAATTACATGCCTCTGCCTTTGGGAGTCATGCTTGTAACTGTCAGCCTTGCAATGCCTCATGGGACTTGTAGTTTGGCAACAGCTGGAGGGCTGCCAGTTTGACACCCATGCATAGATGCTGCCAAGGGGGGATTTAAATTAGCTTTGGATCTACGTTAAGATTCTGAGGCTCAACAATGTAAGTTTTACTATACAGGGCAAAGGAGTAATTCTGCATGGGAAGCAATAATAGTACCAAGAACTGGGCACAGAAAAAATATATACTCGTTGTTAGTGATTATAACTGCATAAAAAACCCAAGTCTTTCTTTTTTGACTGACACTTCAGTTTTATTACTTACATCTCTACCATGCGCTGTTACATGTGAAAGTGTTGATTGAACCAGACATCTGTATTAGAAACCATCTCCCTATTTGTCTGGGAGGCTCGTGAGACAACATTGAAATTCTCCTGTTTTCATTATGTTTCTGACACTTTAAAATGCTGATCCTGTTATTCGCTGAAGAATAATAATAGCATTTCAATGGATTACCATGGTATGTGTCACTGCTGTCTGATATAACAAGATATTAGAATGGCTCATTTCTCAGACTTGTCAGTTCCCTAAGATTACCCCAAACATTCAATATACTACACAATCTTATAATAAAGAGACAAAAATTAGAACACAGAACCATTTCCTGATGTGCACAATAACATTTACTGACTAGTTGTTTAAAAAGCAGTTACCAGAAAGGTGAGGATGTGAAAGTGATCTTTACAGTAAATGATAATTTGATAAATACATTATAATTTTAATTCTGTGTGCGAGGAATTTTGTTCCATTTAATGTATATTATTTTGATAAGTATCCCAGTAACTATGCCCCACAGGTTCAGTGCTGTGCCTCCTAGGGCTTAATTGGTATCTGGAATTATTCAACCCATTTCCTGTGAGCCCAGGTTGTCATACAGCCTTGTGAATGTGTCACTACATTGGCCTAGGCTGGGGGTCGACAACCCGTCTATCGCTGGCAGGTGACGGGTAGATCGGCGATCCTGCTTTGCCGACACCGGACTGCTCCTCCCACATTGCAGAGCAGCGCAAGGAAGGAACTAACTGGTATGCTGTGCTGATCTCGGCCAGCCCTTCTCTCATGTCCATCCCATGCACTTGTGTATGACACAACATGAGATGGATGAGAGAGGAGGGGGCGGCCAGGCACACCAAGAGAAAGAAGTATGGTGTGTTACTGATGGTTCCTCTGTGTGAGGAAAGTTGCTGCTCTCCTGTGAGCCCTTGTAGACACATCACGGCTCTACTGACTGCCCTTATCCTCTGCCCCACTAACTGACAGCATCCTCAGCCCTACTGTCACCATTAGAGATGAGCGAATCGAACATGACGAAGTGGAATTCGTTCCGAAGATTTGGAAAAATTCTATTCGTGACGAATCCGAAGATTAGCAAACTTCGGATGCACGAATCGAATTTTCCCAAAAATGGCGGCGACATGTGTGGCGACGGAGAAAATGGACAGAGAAGATGGGGCAGGGATCTCTGGGAAGGCGCGCAGACAAGGCGCGCTGACCCATAATGCATTCATGACATGTGATCGCATTAGCCAATCAGCAGCCAGCCAGCACTGTGTAATGGTGGAGCTATAAATCGCGGCCATCTTAGAATTCTCCATTAGCCTCCGGTCATTCAAGAGAGACAGACCTGTGTGTATTAAGGGACAGAGTTAGGGCCACAGAGACTTTAGGGCCACAGAATCGTTACTCAGGGACACAGAATCGTTACTCAGGGACACAGAATCGTTACTATACTCAGGGACACAGTGTTCAGTGTTGTGCGCATTAAGCCAGACACCAAAGGGCAGCACAGACCTGTTATTACTCGCTCAAGCATGGCTGAACAAAACCAGTCTCTACCACAAATTGGACCCAGACCTGCCCAGGGTCTCGTAACTAGATTGCACGGAGGAGTAGAGTCCGTTATCGGAATTAAATAGACAAAACGCCACACCAAAAAGAGTGGCCATTTCCAAAACTTATTCCAGAAGAAAGGAGGAACAACCCGTTTCATATACGGCCCGTAGACGTTTCACGTCTGCCACATTCAGTTGATTTAAGACGCAAGCTCCACTTCCTGTGGTCTCTGACCGTCGATATACCTTTAAGTGTCAGCTTTGAAGCTATATTCCCTCCGGAGCACTGACACTGGTGCCCTTCCGTCAACATGCCTTTAAGTTTCAGTTTTCAACCATATTCCCCACAGAAGCCAAACTCTTGGGTATCCCAGAAGCTGCTCAGCGGGGTCAGGGCAATAAAGCTCCCGGTTCGCAGGTTGTTCCGTCTTATGGATGGAAGTACGACGGTATATGATCTTCTTCGCACCCACGGCATTACCTCATAAAATTTCTGCATTGCATCTGCAATCACAACGCTGACTTCCCGGATCGCCACTCAGCCATTGGACTCTTGATAGTCGTCTCCCCACACTGCTGCTGGGGGGACTTTTTAACCTAGGCCTGTGTATGGCCTTCAATTGAAGCTGCTTCCGCTCCGCCACTCTGCCATTGGACTCTTGATAGTCGTCTCCCCACGCTGCTGCTGGGGGGACTTTTTAACATAGGCCTCTGTATGGCCTTTAATTGAAGCTGCTTACGCTCCGCCACTCTGCCATGGGCCTCTTGGGTATCCCAGAAGCTGCTCAGCGGGTCAGGGCAATAAAGCTCCCGGTTCGCAGGTTGTTCCGTCTTATGGATGGAAGTACGACGGTATATGATCTTCTTCGCACCCACGGCATCACCTCATAGAATCTCTGCATTGCATCTGCAATCACAACGCTGACTTCCTGGATCGCCACTCAGCCATTGGACTCTTGATAGTCGTCTCCCCACACTGCTGCTGGGGGGACTTTTTAACCTAGGCCTGTGTATGGCCTTCAATTGAAGCTGCTTCTGCTCCGCCACTCTGTCATTGGACTCTTGATAGTCATCTCCCCACACTGCTGCTGGGGGGACTTTTTAACATAGGCCTCTGTATGGCCTTCAATTTAAGCTGCTTACGCTTCGCCACTCTGCCATGGGCCCCTGTACCGCCTCCTCTTGCTGCTGCCAGGTCCAGAGTGTGTCATGGGTCCCTGTACG